CTACTACTACTACTACCACTACTACTACTACTACTACTACTACTACTACTGCGACTACTACTACTACTACTACTTCTACTACTACTACTACTACTACTACTACTACTACTATTACTACTACTACTACTACTACTACTACTACTACTAATAATACTACTACTTCCACTACTAGTATTACCATTACTGTTATGTGTAGCTCTCTGCTGGTGGTCAGTATCAACTGTTTGTCGAAAGGCATGCTTTGCTATCGCCATGGAAAATACATATTCTTACTGTTAGCGTTACCAATGGTAGCACGATCACTGTTATTACTATCAGCATCACGATCACCACCACCACCACCGGCATCATCATCATCAGCTGCATTACGAACACCAAAAACATGAATACTGATAGTAGTAGTGGTAGTATCATTGTGACTTCTATGCTTTGTATTAATAGCAGTAGTATGACAAGTATTAGTCGCACCACTCTTACGAATATGAGTCGTCTTCTCATTATTCGAACTAGTACTACTGCCGTCAAGATTCGCATTCTTCTTACGATGGGAATCATTGTTTTCATGATTAGGATACTGAGTAACACTATTACTATTACACCGCTTAGTGTAAAACTACTCCCTGCGTTTGATTATGATTGCGAATACTTCTAGTATTACTCTGATTTGTATTACTCATTCTAGTATCCACCTTCTGTCCAATATACTTATTTTTATTCCTGACGTTGGTCTTCTTATTGTTCATCCTGGTCATCATACTTATCCTCTCCCTCCTTTTCCTGATATTCATCCTCCTCCTCTTCCTCCTCTGCCCCCTCCTCCTTCACCTCCTCCCCCTCCTCATCGTCATCGTCGTCATCATCAGCATGGTCATCGTCGTCATCAACATCATCCGTATCAGTTTTACACGCCCCAACCCCGAATTGATCATCATCATGGTCGTTTTCCTCCTCCTCCTCCTCCCACTCCTTTTCTTCCTTCTCCTCCTCCTCCTCCCCAGTTTCCTCCTCCACCTCCTGATCCTCTTCCTGCTCATCAAACCCTTCCTCCACCTTTTCCACCCACCCCCCCTAATCTTCGCCGCTAACACACTGCACCCTTGCGCGCGCCCACTGCCCACCAAACGCGCGCCTGCGTCGGCCTGCGCGTCTGCGTCGGAGGTCTGTCGCGTCTCGGGTCCTGCTGGAAAGGGGGCGTTGTTTGTTCCTCTCCCCCTCCGTGTTTTCCACCTCCCATATCTATTCTTCTTTCTCCTCCTCCTCGTCATCCTCGCCCACCTCCACATCCTCCAAGTCCTCCTCTTCCTCACCATCATCAGCATCATCAGCATCACCATCATCATCACCATCATCAGAATCGTCGTCATCATCGCCGCCATCGCGACATCATCGCCATCAAAATCGTCGTTATGATCACCGCCACCATCAACATCATCCGCAGCATCATCGGCACCACAACCAACATAAATTTCATCGAAAGCATCACCGTATTCATCGTCGACGTCCTCATGCTCCACTTGGGAAGATGTGTCACAAACAAAAACACGCTCCCCTGGAGGAGACGTTGCTTGAGCCGAACACACACGGCATCGCACAAACACGCAAGATCGTCCGAAGCGTTTCGAACAAACTGAGAACATCAGCCTGCTGCCGAACTCTTGCTGCCACAGTCGTACTGTACTCCTCTCTGGCATGGAAGGCACTGGATAAAATAAAGCGGGGATGTACTTATACATTCAAACGACGACTGAACAGCTAGATAAACAGTGGGTTGGTATAGGTATGTGAAAAGTAAGACAGTAGACGATGGCGACGGCGATAACAAAAGATAGCAGATGCCCTGTGACGAATCTAAACACGTAATTAAAGTAAGTGAAGGCATAACTGGTGCAAGTGGACAGCGACTACGATTTGGGCGTAGACGTACCCGGGGGACCTAACACGCGAGACAAGATTGAAAGTGTCGCAAAGCACGGAATGGTTAACAGTTTCTGCGGTATGAGCGCGTAAACGGGCACTTGGATCTCAACTGATCCTGAGCTCGAGCTTCCAGCAGAGCGGCACGTCAATAAGCGAACACTCCGAAGGAGCGCCAGCTCGTGTCGTCCATTAACAATGCGTTGATTTGTATTTCACATATGCATGGACACTCTGTCAATACTCACACACTTAATCAAGGCATCTGCTAGTATCTCATGAGTTCCTACTTTGACGCATGTGATGTATCCTCGTCGCACTTTGTGGCGTAACCAAAGCTGCCAAACATCGATATGCCTGACGTTTCTAGTCTACGCCTGCCAACAGCTGCAACGGCTGCGCCTGCAGCGCTTCTACATGAGATGCCCCCACGAGCATCGAAGTTTTTGAGAATTCTTCGCGATCCGAACGACACCGAACCGTCTTTCACCACTCCGCAGTACCCTGCTTCTCCAGAAGGTAGCGCCACTATACTCCCAGTTAGCCTCCACAACTTCATCACATGTAGTCCCCAACTTACGGTGACTCCGCTCGTTGATCCCGCTCGTTGACTCGAGCGCGTTCTTTCAATCAGCATGGTCGCTGTCAGTCCCCACGGTCAACTACCTCGGACGCTCTTGATTACAAATGCTGATACCCACACCTGTCGCGAATGTTGAGGTACTTGCCCAGCTGTGCAAGGCTTGCCCATGCCCCTCGGGTCGGGGCTGATATAAAGCGCGATCCTTGACTGAGAATTGAATGTCCCAACGGTTTCGGCCTAGATAGTTTACCGTGGCCACCGACGCTGGGTACTTCTCAACTCCAGGGCTCGTCGAAGGCTCCTCATTCCCTTCTACGCAGGGGGGCCTTTCACCTCGTACATCACGCCTCACGTTGCACCGGCCACGCCCACCCAGACGGACATTCCAGCATGTTATTTTTTCATCCACCTCATACCATAGCCCATCCAAGTGCCATTCCACAAATCGATTGAATGTCCTGATTGGCTTCGAATATTCCGGCCGATGCCCGCGCCTGCCCCAGACAGAGGTTCAGCGGAATGCCCGATCTCTCCGTCGAACCAATCAAAATCAGCATCATTATCCAATGAAATAAAATCGCCCCCCTGAACTGTCAGCCAGATTCGCCAGATTCCCGTCGCCCAGGCCAACGCCACGCGCAAGATCCACGCGCGGAGAAAGATTCCCAGATGCCGGAGGCGCCCCGAACGCCGCGCATTGACTTCCACGAACTTCCACGCGCGCCGCGTGCCCAGCCTACGTCCTTCTTCGGGCAGCCCGGTGAAGATGCCCCGCTTGGACGCGGCGTAAAAGCACGCCCGCCTCATGGCGCTAGACCCCAGCTTGAGCCCATTCTGACGACGCCCTCGGCCGCGCCCTACCACCTCGGCAATTGCCCTGGAGAAGCAATCGACGGGCTTCCAGTGGGGGGGCGGCCGCAAATATGCCCGCCCCCGTGGGACTGCGCTTAACTCGCTGCGCCGCGAGCCAGGATCGGCGCGCAAGACTGGCCTCGTCGCCCTCGCTGGTGCCAATCCACCTCGCACCCACGGGGGCTTCGCCGGTAGCACCCAGGCATTCCTTCCCCTGGACTTTCTCATGCACCTCGTGTCTCCTGCGTTCATCCATCTCCTCCGCAAGCATCTAACGCGAGTTGTGGATCGAACTCGCACCCCGACGCGTCACTCCACGCGCGAACTCGCGCCACAGGCTCTGGAAGAGCACCCCACTCGGTCGCCGACCGTCATCTGGTTACCAGGCCATCGAGTACAACTCGACATAATCCGTCGGGCATGGGCGTGACCTCCTCGCCACGCCTCTCCCGAATTACTCAATGCGTCGAGACTGACCTCGACGCTTCGCGCTGATGAGCCCCTCCGACGCAGGGGCTGAAATTCATGGACCGAGCAGGCTCCTATACTACTATTTCCTCTCAATTCACGACCTGCTTCAGGTGGTCGCGCACCTTCTCGCCTTAACATTCGATGCATTGGCGACGCGGCCTAACCCGAGGCCCCCGCAGGGTGTCCGAAGGAAAAACCCGCCGCGTCTCTGAATCCCATGTAGCTCCTGAGCAAAACTGAGGCGTTCAATCCCGTAGTCAATGAAGCACGTCACCATTTTCCGGAGCAAGCTTCCCGAATTGAAAGAATGCAACCTGCTGATGGCTGCGCGCCTTGGACTCGCGACGAAGAGGTCTTGCGATCGATTGATGTTCCTCGCTTTGCCCGCATCACCTCGCAATTGTCATCCCACGGCTTGTCCGCTTTCAGTCCACGTGGTCAAATCCAGAACTAGGTCCGGCATGAATTAATGCGTCCGCCACTCCAACAACTCCGACTGACGAGTATGCTTCGAAAACATGTGACTGCACGTCGTGCAGGTCTTTGTCGCAAATCTTTACGGCTCTCCTGATGTTGTTGACCTGTCTGGCGAAATCCCGATCAGCGTTGAGTCGCCACTCCGCGACACCTGTGCCAAGCACCATCACATCTAAGCTGGCGCGCACCTCATCAGCATTCAGATCATCGCGTTTTGCGTCGACCTGTTCGAGCGCATTGGCTCCCGTGTTCTCGTCGCCGGGCCCCTCGCCCCCTCCGACTTCTGGACCCCACTGCCACAACTGATCGACCTCTTCCCCCCCATCGAACTTCTCTGGTCCTCAACGTCCCCGAATTATTGTGCGTTCTGGTTACTGCTGAACCATGGCAGAATCATGTTAGCTGTTCGCTCATCATCATCACCTCCAGAGATAACTCGGAATTCAGCCCAGCCTGCCTAGGGTCCTCGTAACTCTCCTCCACCTTCATCTATCCGATCGTCGGATATGTCCCTTGTTTCATCGGCTTCCTAATCAAGTACATCCGTTCGTCTCCCATTGGCCTGGGGGGTCATATCATCACGTCTCTAGGCACGCACACGCACTTTGGCCCTTGGTTCACGACGCCGTCGAATGGGCAACTCGTCTTTAGCAACCCACTTGTCCAATAACACATCCTCCCTATCCTTGTCCGGCAATTAGCTGCCGGGCTCCATCCGCATCCGAATCGCTGCCAATCGCTCTTGGATGTTCGGGTCGTCCTGTCTTCAGGGCCACTCGGCAGCTCGTCCACGACGTTCTGCACCGCGAAAGTTGCGGCCTGCGACTCCTCTGACTGCGGCGCTGCACCCATCGCCGCCCTGCGCAAGCCCCATGGCCTACGCTCCGACTTCTCCATCGCGGCCCCATCGAGCCACAAACGGCCAGGTATCTGCAGCCAGACCGTGACTGGGCACCGCCATGGGCAAGGTCACCCTGGCTCAAACTCCCATTCCAAGCACGTTCGGGCCTCGTTGCCAAGGTAGCCCCTTCACGCCGTTAACCCCCTCAACTCCATTTCCCCCCATCACTCCGCGAGCGCCCGAACTCGCGAGACCTGGCGACGCCCTCTGGAGCGCCCACGATTGATTATCTCCCGGCCGCCCCCATGCATTCCCGGAAATACACGGCCCCCCACCCTGCCTCAAAGTCGTCGCCGCCAACGTTTAAAACGGAGTCCCCAAGTGCATGTCAGACCCCAGTTTCGGGCAACGGCTCGCGCGGGCCGCCTCGCCGAAGCACGCGCCGCCAATTCGTCGACGAGAGAAGATGCACGCGCCACTGACCAAAGCACACAGGCATGCTCGTAACCGAACACAGTCGTGCAAGCGTCGTCCAACGCACTGGCCGATTTCCTGAATTGACCTGTCATTCGCCCAGCAGTATCCGGCCAGACTATCCTCTACTCCCACGTCGGGGCCGAGCGAGGCCACGACAGCTTCCTTGAGCGCAGCAACGAATGACTCCCCATAGTTTCCGGGATCACTCTTCTGCGGTCTGCGAACAAAACCGCTTCGAGAAACGCCGACTGAGCTCGGAGAGCCGCGCCCTCGATGAATCGAGTTTGGCCCCAGATGAACCTCGCGCCCTCACGGCACACGACGACGCTCGGGCCCCCTTGCCTGCTGCCTCACCACGACCACCACCACCACCTGCGCAGCCGCATACAATCCACCGGGAGCGGCGACGCCCCTGGCCCAGGCACCCCCAGCATCTCTACGCAAGATCCCCCACTGACTTGCTCTCTGACGCGCGGGGGGGGGGCGCCGGCTTCGGCGGGGCAACTGCGTTTCATTATGCACTTCAGCTCCTCGTTCGCTCGGCCATAGATCACGCGCGATC